AGTGATGAAATTGCCCTCGAAGAATATGAATTTGATGATAAAAAAATAGTTAACGGTACCCTCATTCAATGAACCGAAAAGCTGATGCAGCGATAATAAAAAACGAAAGCCTTGTCCCACTATAACTGAGTCATAGTAAAGGACAAGTTGTTTCACTTATACGGCCTCGAAGGATGACGCAGGACTCAGCTCAAGGTCTAAATAGACAGATTCCGATTAGAGCTTATTCTACTCCAATGGCATGAATTTCCAAAGAAAAGTCAGTAGACATTTTCCCAGGTATGGCACAAATCCATCTTGAAATGGCATTTAAACGCTTTCTTTTTAAACGATAGGTATCCGTGCAAAGCATGTAAAGTTTACCGCTGAAGTGATGGCCACTTAAAAAAGCATGTCATGTAAGGGCACAAGTTCAACCTTCAAAAAATTTAGGTCGAGCAATGAACTTGCGCGCAGCCCCTAAATGACCGGTGGCACCGCAGAAATTCGGTAAAGACTGCCAGATAAAGAGTCTGCAGATTAAATTTCAGCAGCCGCCAAAAAAGGAGAGAGGAATGGAGGCAGCCATAATACGTTTAAAGAACGCTGGTCCAAAGATAAAAGAACCCACCGCCTCGGCTTAAGAACATAGGGTTTCGCATTGGCTCGGGATAAATCCTCTCGCTCCTCAACTGGAATTTCGGTTTGGGGAAGGGAAATGGATATGAGACCGAGAAAATCGTCCCTTGTTATGCGGTTCTCATCAAATATTTCCAATAAAAGTCGATTACTCTCCGGGTTGACGCGAAAGTAGAACTCCTCGTTCCATTCAGGATTAAGATTGCGTCTAATCGTGCATGTACGCACACTGTTACCAAGAGCGATAGCTTGACGCACGTCGCGGTAAAGGCTTAAGCGACAGTAGGGATCGCTAGTGCCGAAAATATCCTTTTTCATCAGCGACACGCCGCGAACAACTAGGACTTTAAGAATTCTCTGGCCGGGAAGGCACTGAAATTGTGGAAAGTGGGTAAGAATATTGATGCTTCAATAATTGTGAAAAGGAATATACTTGAACGCAACCTATAACAGTTAGCCAAAAATGTATGCAAGTAAATAAGCGTAGCGCACAACAACCAAAATCTAGATAATCCCGCAAGATATAAAAGCAGCTATAGAAACTGAGCAAACATGTAGAAAAGAAAACTGACTACAAAATTTGCTTGAATAATAATAAAGTAGCATGTGAAAATCGACCACAAAGATGTAGGGCAGTGAAATATAAGAAAATACTTGCTTTTTCGAATGGGATGCCATGAACACTTCTGTGCGATAAGACCGACCCACTACCCGCAGAAGGCATTGATTCTGCCTACTAGCGAATCGTAGTCGTTTTAGGCGACCAAGATATAGCCAATTAGAACAAAATGTTTGAATAGTGACTTGGGTGGCTTCATCGTAAAAGATAAAATAATCTCATATTTATGACTTTTAATTGCGATAAATTGCAAACCTGTTTATCGAAAGCAGTAATTTGCAAAATATATTTTAAAATTGTACACTATACTTGCGTTGTAAAATTTTAGATACGACATCACCGCAACTGAAAGAGAAAATGACTTTTTGCCTATGCGGTTACCTGGCGTTTAGTGATAACACATTGATGTTTGTCTTACTCCTGCATGTATGGAATGGACTTCGGGCAATGCCAGAGCTTGATTTCTTTATTCTCCTTTTCGAATACAAGAAATCAAAGCCATTTACTACTTAGTGAGGAGTCTTAAGATGCTGCGAATCTAGCCTAAATAATGAATAATTTATCAAGCGGAGCGATTACTTGCATATCGATACTTTTTAGATTACTGTTAATAAAATGCGTGTTGTTGATTTGATTGTGCGATGTAAAAGATACTGGTGCATCAATACAGAAGCCATTCATATCGAATACGAAAATCGTTTCATGAGCTAGCTTTACTATTATGATTTACTTAATTGCTTTGTCTCTATTCAGAAAGGAAGGCCTCATAAATCATTCTTGAATTAACATTTCTCGGATAGTGAGTCTGCAGGGCTTTCATCTCCTCTTAGGCTCTTGAAACTCTGATATCATAAGGCGATTGTTTAGCGAAGGTTTATTTGACATCCTTTACATAATAAGAAGAGTTTTGTTTATCGATTTGACGGCGGTCTGGCGTTGCTTTGCTAATGGACCCTCGGGTTCCCCGAGCACAGTACAAGCCTCTCCCTTAAAAGGCAATTCATAGATCTTTGCATATGTATCACAAAGATGAAGGTCGAAGGGGATGGACGGAAAAGAAGGCTGTTTTCATGTAAAGATTATGTTACACATGTACAGGGACCAAACAAATTCTAAAGTCACCGCCAAACATCATGTATTCACATGAACATAGCATTACACTGCCCTTCTCTTCTTTTGAGCGACGTCGTCAACGCTCTCCTTTGGTGCACCTCTCGCGCCAGCCATCACAACATATTCGGTACCATAAGAAAGCACCCACGAACAAACCGCCCTAGGCAACAGTGAGTATCAGACTGAGGAACTGTACCTGGCCTCCTCGTCAGCTTCAACTGGATCTGGGGTTACGTTCGGTGTGACAACCAGATTCGGGGCCGGCTACACATGTTGACCATCAATTGCTTCCAGGAGTAGACGGTGGAACTCTGGTCTAAATCATATATGTTACAGGGAAAACCGGGTAAGCCAATGTCCCACATGTAAGGAGAAACGTAGTGCCATTTCCGACACCTAAACACGGATTTTGTATGGAAAAGTCCGACAAGAAACTTTTCCAGATGGTTCACGGCGGTGTCGCTTCAGTTGTTAATGGTTCGTCTGTGGTACACCGGAATAAGTTGGAACAAATAGCAGACATT